TCAGAGTGGATGGAAGAGAAGGTCCAGGATGACTTCTGGACCTGGATCCCATGCCTGAGAGGCCTGTGTTTGACTGTGTGGTGGACATCAAGTCTGAGGCCCAACACCTCACTGACAGTCAAGTCTGCAGGAGAGGAGGGCCTCTAACATCTTGCTGACTCTGGACGTGTGCACTCCCAGCTGCCTGGAGAAGGGCTTCGGCTACCTCATGTCCAACAGGAGGAGTCTGCCCAGGAGTACTCAGTGCCTCCTGTATCCTCCACTCTGAGGACCTTCAAGAGAGGGCTCTAGATCCCTTCCTGCTGCAGGCAGAATTCTTTGAAATCCCCATGAACTTTGTGGATCTGAAAGAGGACGACATCCCTGGGCTGATGTGGAAGAACCGGTACAAAACCATCCTGCCCAGCCCTCACAGCAGAGTGTGTCTGACCTCACAAACCCCAACGACACTCTGAATTCCTACATCAGCACCAGCTACAGTGGAGAGGAAAAGGTGTACATCGCCATTCAGGGCCCAGTCATCAGCATGGTGGGCAACTTCTGGTGCCCATCATCATCAGGATCACCAACACTGAGATGAACAAGAAATGCACTGAGTACTGGCTAGAGGAGCAGGTGGAGTACAAGGGTGTGACCACTGTGCAGAAAGCCATCCACACTGAGCATTACCGGCTGCGACTCATGTCCCTCAAGAACAGGACAGAAGAAAAGTGAAGGGAAGATGGCATTCTGGGGAGGCAGTGACTTAGGCCTAGCCCATGTGGTGTCTGCAACTCAGGAGCTCCAATGACTCGAAAAAGGGCAGAGCCCTGGCTGACGGTGAGAGAGGGGCCACCTGCTCCACCAGGTGGCAGGAAAGGTGAGGGACGACAGGTAGGCAGCTGCATTGGGGCATTTCTCGTCTCAACGTTGGTGATCATGATGATGCAGGGCATGTGCTCCTGCTGCGCCATGGCCAGAAGTCAACCACTGTGCCGACGATGGGGCTTTGAATGGCAATGTACACCTTCTTATAAAATCGTAATTGTGAAAACAATGAAAATATACAGAAAGTTGGAAAGAAAGCACACTGAATAAACAACCATCACCAGATTCAAATTTCTCTCTCCTCACTTAGAAATTTTCGTGGAAAATACATACTACAAAAAATTTTGCATAGATTTCCAATTTTATGCACAAAAATAAACTGATGATGAGGAATACTTTAACTCCATTTTCCACAAACTTATCAAAGTCCCCTCGTGTATTACAAGCAGCATAACTTGTTATCCCTAACTACTTTAGAATGTATCTCTTAAAATGAGAAATTTCTCATATGAACTTTTATCACACTTTGCAAAATAAATAATTCCTTAATATCTAAGACCTAGTTTACATTCAGATTTTTCCACTCACTCCCAAAATACATTTTATAATGGACTTGTTTAAACAAGGAGCCAATCCATAACTAAACTCTGTTATGACTCCTAACTAGATAAATGAAAGAATCACTTCTTACCCCATTTGACTTTCCAAAGATAGTTGGGTAAATGTTCTACAAAATTTTTATTTTCTGAATTTGTTTTATTGTTTCCTGGTAATTTCATTAAGTGTATTTCATCGTCCTCTGTATGTCCTTTTTTAAAAAATGAATTTATTATTTACTTATATTTTTCTCCCAGCATGAATACATTATATATTGGTCCAGTCAAAATTATTACCATATACATTATACAGATAACAGATAACTTTCTAGTTTTGTGTCCATTAAATGTTTGCTTCCCCTCATTCGTTCTCTCTCCTCTCTTCCCCACCTCCCTCCCATACTACCTCTAGTATCTACAGTTGCTCTCCCTCCCATTATACCTTCCACTCTTTCATTTCAGCCATAGAGTGCAGACATTCAGTATTAAGTGGGGACATATAATGCCTCTCTTTCATAGTCTGACTTGCTTCACTCAGCATTGCATCTTCCATATTCATCCACTTTTTATCAAATTTCAGGGTCTCATTGTTTTTTATGGCCAAGTAGTTTTCATGGTGTAGCTGTGCCACACCTTTTCAATCCATTCATCACACTGAGACATTTGGGTTGATTCCATGTCTTGGGAATTGTGAATTAATGCTGCAGTAAACATGGATGTGCAAGTGTTTTTTCTGTCTGAGTGTTCTTGTATCCTTTGGGTAGAGACCCAGAAGCAGAATTATTGGGTCATATGGTAGTTCTATTTGTAGGTTTTTGAAGAACCTCAAAGAACAGGCAGTAATCCTGAAAATAGTGGAACTACATCAGGCTAAAAGGCTTTTGCACAGCAAAATAAATACTAATTGATGTAAAAAGACACTCTCAGAATGGGAGAATATATTTTCAAACTGCATCAGATAAGGGAACTGGTAACCGGAATTTATAGGGAACTCAAGCACCGTACCCGTAAAGACAAAAACAATCCAGTAAAAAAAAAAAAAAAAAAAAAATTAGCTGAATAGAGAATTCTCCAAGGAATACATATGACCGACCAGAAAGCATATGAAAAATGCTCAACATCTGTCATAAGAGAAATGATTGCCCTCTGTATATCCTTTAAACTTGAAGTTAGAAATGCAGACTGATTTAGATTTGGGTTAAACATGCTTTAGTAAGAAAACGTCATAGAGAACACTCTGTAATTTCCACAACATCTCTTCAGGAGGTACATCATGGATTGTTATTTCTGATAGTTTATTTATTGCATCGAGGTGGCGACAGTCAGATCTCACCATTATAAATATGTAGGGTTCCTCTCGATTTATTATCAGCAGGTAGTTTGTGGGCTAATGTGGGGAAAATTCTCCATATTCCATGCATCTAATTTTTTTAAGAGAAAGTTTTGCTATAAAGCATGCACTCACTGGAGAGACAGAGAGAGACAGAAAGCAAGAAGTCACCCCTAAGAGGGGATAGCCAGGCCACAATCCCGTCTCTTGCGTCCTCCTCTCAGGATCTTGGGCATACATGCACATGCACCTGGTGTGAGGATTAAGCCACTGGGTTTGGGACTTGAACCATGGTTGACTATGTGGGAATTCAGTGACATAACCATTATGCCATCTGTTGGTCCCCATTTAGTGAATAATTCGATACACATAATGATTCTTAATGGAATCAGATTTCATTTGTGGTTGCAGAATGGTGATTTTTTTTCTGATACTGTCCATATTTTCTACATTTAGTACTTGGTGTTCTTCTATAAAAATATGTCTTCCTTGGGACCAGCAGATGACATGGTATCTCAGGCACTGGACTCCCTCATGGCCGACCATAGTTCCATTCCAGGACCCAGCAGCTTGAAGATCACGCTGGGTGCATCTGTCTATGCGCATACCCAAAATGCTAAGAAGAGAATGGAGGAGATGGAACTGCAGGGCCATCCACACTGTGGGGAGATTTCTCACTTCCCCTCTCTGACTGTCTTCAGCCAGCACATGCACCCTATGGCAAAAACCAAAACAAAAAATTTCCTGCTCAACTAGGACATTTTTGTTACCCTGCACTACAAGCCAACTAAATGTTTAATTCATTTCCTGTAATTACCCCTTTTTAGAATAAGGATTTGGTCTAATAGTCACCCCCACCTGCCAGGTGTCTGTGAGTACATGCCCTAAATCCTGAGAGAATGGAGGAAATGGGATTGCAGTGTGACCATTTTCCCCGGGGTATTATTTCTCACTTTCCCTCTCTGTCTCTCCAACAAGTGCAGAAGCCCAATGGCAAAAACATTTTTAAAAAAAAGAGAGAGAGAGAAGCAGAAGCAAAGAAACTTGTCTTTAAATATAATATTTAGTGCATAAATATAATACATTTGCCTTATATCTATTTTTGCAGAAACTATTTTTGCAAAAGACTTCCTGGAGTCTTGTCTAAGAAGTAAAGCCCTGAACATTGCAGAAAGGTCAAGGAGAATAATAATTAGATGGTAAGCTCTGTAAATGTAGTTCCTATAGGTGCTCAAGTGGCCTGTTACAGAAAGAGCAATTCAAGATGTTGGAAGTCAAGACTATCTAAGGAAATATGATCTGGGGGGATGGATGGATGGGGGGAAGGAATCCACCTTCAGGACAAGGAAAAGAGCTCATCCTCTGAAATTGGCAGGAATGAGAAGGAGCTGAGGAGACAGCTGGAGAAGAGGAGTGGCCAGAGGCTCCACCATAAGGTGACAATCTCAGTAAAGTACAGAGTGGAGGGGTCAGCAGATGGTACAGAAGTTATGTCGTTGGACTCCCACCTGGCCAGCTGCTGTTTGAGTCTCAGATCAGTGGCTTACAAATCACACAGGGTGCGTGTGTTTGCACCCAAGATCCTGGGAGGAGGATGGAGAAGCTGTCTCCCATGGGGGATGATTTCTCACTTTCTTTCTCACTGTCTCTGTCTCTCTCTTTCCTCTACAAGTGCATGTGCCCTAAGGCAAAAACTCAAAAAAAAAAAAAAAAAAAAAGTACAAAGTGGAGCCCCATGCTGAGAGGAGAGATCTGGGTGAAGAGTGAAGGACTTAAAGGAGAGGAGAGGAACACTTTAAGATTATAGTTCATCCTGTCTTATGAGCTTTTCGTTCGTTTGTTTTTGTGTTTGTTTATTTAATTTACTGGAAGGCACATGTGCTTGCCAGAGAAAGATAGAAAGAATGTGAACAAGCACCCCCTCTCATGAGGGACAGCCCTACCACAATCCCTTCTGTTTCTCCTTTCTAGGATTTTGGGCATGCATGCACTCGTGCTGATGTGTTTCTCAAGCCACGAGGTCCAGGACTCAATTGTGTAGTAGACTATGTGGGATCCAGCCGCCTTAACCACCACACCACCAGCTGTCCCTCTTGTAAGCTTTTTTAAGTGTAATTTTTATCAATACTGCCCCCTTAAGATTTATATATTTTTCAAATGCTCTTCAGTGAACAAAGAATAAATAATTTTATTTTCAAATTAAAGGCTCAAAAAAAAAACTTTGAAAAGGTGCAGATTGTAGATAATGTTATCAGCAAGCTCTCTGGGTATTACAGTGTAAAGAGGAGTTTATTACATTTATATGTAGTAACTCTGGTTTTTCAGTTTATTTTGTCACCCAAGGTGGCTTATAAACATGTCCTCTTAAACAGTTGATGTACTCTCAGGTTACCTATCCCCAACTGCGCAGACCAGCTAGAATGGTCAATCACACAATCTTGCTTATGTTGTGCTGGTTGAGAGTATAGTGGTTTCTAATCAACAACCACATAGTCACCTTTATATCAGTAATAAGTGGGCATACATATAAAAATTGAGTGTGAAAAAGTCAAAACTCACAGCGCTGAAACAAGATTTGTGGTCAGTAGGGGGCAGCCTTCTCTAGGTTTTTGGTTTCAAGGCATTTGCTCCTGAAACACTCTTGACTCTTGAATTTCCTTTTCCTATTGGTGATACCTGTTTCAGAGACAAGCAAAACGAAACACGGTGAGATAGTAAGGACAGGTTTTAATTAGTACATACTGTTGCAATAGAAGCATTCAGCGTGAACTTCACCCAACTTTGGTTTTTACAGAGGTGACTGAGGTTTAATGGAGAAGGAGGGAGCAGGAGGAGGCTCAGTAGTCTGGAAGTTAAACATCCAAGAGAGCCAAAGCGGGGTTTTGCTACTTGCTTCCTTGAACTTAGGCTCCTTGCCTCCCTCAGAGCCGGGGGTGGGACTGGGGGTTGTTGTCAGGTGTTGGCAGAAGCCGTCCATTCTCAGCAACCTTCGGGTTTCTTTCCAGCAGCCACGTTAAGGAGTGAGGACCCGGCCATCCTAGGGGTGTGGCCTTGAGCTGGTAAAACTGTGTTCAATAGTTCCAATCTTTATAAGCTAAGGTTGATGCCTAGCTGTGAAAGGACCCAGAGGAGCTTGGCTAGAATTGCGTAAAGGAGAAAATCTTTATGAAAAAGGAAAGATATTAATACGACTATTTTACTGACAAAATATGTGCCTGCACTACCTCTTACCAATAGGACAATATTAGTGCTTTTTGATGACTTATTGATAGTAATTCTGCTTTGTAGTTGCCAGAAGATCTCAAAAGAATTTGGGAGACATTTCAAGAAGTAGCTATTACCTCTGTCTTGAGGGAACTATTGTCTAGTCCCTGGCCCTTTAAACAAGCTTCAAGAACAGAAATGGTCACCTGTGTTTCTCTTGCTCAGCGTCTATTCCCCTTCTCCTTAGTCAAAACTCTGTGTGATGTCTGGCACGCGTGCATTAGCAGGGAGGTAAATGGTCACCTTCACTCCTTAGCTCCAGGGTGGGCCTGAGCCCCGCCTAATCCAGAGCACCATGTACCTCTAACTACATGGGTTGTTCCAAGGATGGGCTCGAAACCTGACTCAGGCCTATGGCCAATTCTGGGACTCCTAGAACTATGTGGAACTGTGCTGTAAGCTGTAAATCTGTCAAGCCATGGGCTGCAGAAGAGTCCCACCCAGAGAGGAGCTACAGAAGAAAGGAAAACAACCAGAGGAGAGACCCAGCGTTGAAGTTTCTTAAGCCCCTGGATCCAGCCACTTCATATTTGTTTTACTTTGTTTTGTTTTAATTTATTATGAATTATTTCAGATATTTAAGAAGATGAGTCTAATGAGCATTCACATTCCCTCCAGGCAGTTTGAGAAATAAAATATTGCTGGTGTAATTAAACTCACAGACTCTCTGGTTATGTACATAAATAAATTGACTTTGGTTTCAGCTGCAGGGACGTGTGCCATTGGGACCCTGTGCTCTGGAGGCTGGAACCACAGGGGAGGCTCTGGTTTGATTCCCTGTGTTATCTAGAAAAGCTGAGTGAAATGACATGCGCCTGTAATCCCAGAAATTGGGAGAGGCTAGGGCAGAGGATCACAACTTAAGAGGATAGTTTTTTGTTTGATTTTGTAAATCCACTTTGAGTAAACCAGTTTGACCTGTGGCTCTGTCCCTTAAAACACAAGAATATGATTTATACAAATCCAATAAAAGCTGTCTTTACATGGCCTAAATGCACAGTGTGAAAATTAATACATATTGGGCCAGACCATGGCTCAGTAGTGAAATGCAAGGCTCTGCAGGGCAGATCACCTGGGCAGGTTTCCAGTTTGCACACAGAAACCTCCTCGAATACACTCCGGAATACCCGGGGGGGGGGGGGGTATGTGCCCATGATCTCAATTGGCCGAGGCTGGGAGCGGATCATAGCATTGAGACCCTGTTGGGGTTGCTGTATTTCTGTCTCTCTTTCTCTCTTTGTATATCTTTCATTCATGAACTACATAAATAAACTTGAGAATAAATAAATATTAAGTAATAAACAGATGCATGTATACATATGAACACAGGGTATCAGTATCAGTTTCAAGCATAAATAATGGCTCCCAATCAGGCTAATTTTGACCTTTTTTTGTTTGTTGATATTTGGGTTATGCCGTAGGGTGTGTGTGCTTGCCAGAGAGAGGGAAAATGAGAAATCACCCCTCAGTGGGATGGCCACACCACAATCCCTTCTCCTCCATTCTCCTCTCAGCATTTTGGGCATGGGTGCATATTGACTGGGCATGGTCTTCAGGCCACTGGGATCAGGACTCGAACTACAGTTAGCTTTGTAGGAATCCAGCACCTTAACCACCACATTGCCTGTTGGCCCAATTTTGCCCTTTTTAATTCTGAGGACAGAGCATCCCAGCAAGCTTGAGTCTGATACTTGCCTATACTCAGCTTATCTTGATAATATGCTGCCTATATCAACTGAAGACCTATTTTACCCTGCAGAAATGTTCTTTTACCCATCCCTAAGGGATATAGTTAGAAAATACAAAGCAGTCCCAAGCTCTGACCTTGTTGCAAGAGATATCCGGGATCTGGGCCACGCTAAGCCCTGACAGCTGCCTGACATATGGTGTGTTTCTCAAGGCATTTTCCAGATTGTCCCACCAAGCCCCCAGGAAAGGGTTTTGTAAGCCCTCACACAAGCTGGGACAACTTGCATTCCCAGGGCTCAATATGACTTTTCTTCTCCTGGGAAACTCATAGATTAGTAGTCATCTTGCCACTCTGCATTAGCTGTCTCTGTGCTGGTTCACCAGTTTTCCAAAATGATTTACAGACACACTTAGGTATCAAAATTATGAAGAGGATGAGTGATTTTTTTTTTTTGGAGAGGTTTTTGCTATAGGGCACGTGCGCTCGCCAGACAGAGAGACAGAGAGACAGAAAGCGAGAAATCACCCCCCAGGGGGAATGGCCACACCGCTATCCCTTCTCCTCCATTCTCCTCTCGGGATCTTGGGCATGCACGCACACGCGCCCGGTGTGAGTTTAAGCCACCGGGTCCAGGACGCAAACCGCGGTCGACTACATGGGAGTCCAGCGACATAACCGTTACGCTAACTGCTGGTCCCATGAGACAAGAGATTTTATTTTATTTTATTGAATTATTTGATTTAACTTTACTTATTTATTTATTTATTTATATTTGACCAAAGAGGGACAGAGTGAAAGAGAGAGAGGAAAAGTGAAAAAGTAAGCCGTCAGATTTGGGACTTGAACCACAATCGGCCATCCCCTTAACCACCATACCACCTGCTGGCCCTTGAGGGCAAGTGATTTTTTAAAATGTGTGTGGTGGTTACTTTGAGAGTGAGGGACAATAATGTCATGAGGTAGAGCAAATTGGTGTTTCCAAAGTCATAGTGATTTCAGTTTCCTTACTGGAGTATTGACACATTGGTACCTATTGTCTAGTCTATATACATATGTATGTTTACACATATGTATGTTTGGATATAAGTGTGTACACACAAATGTTTCAGGTACTCTTTGATGTATATTTATATTTAACACTAAAAATTCTTTTGCTTTAAGCTGAAGGTTACACTCCCAGAATAATTTCTATTTATTACATTTTTCAATAAGCAAGCATTTATTGAACTCCTTCCACATGACATGACAGACATGCTAAAAAAATAGAAAAGTGAATCAGAAAGATGTGATCCCTCTTCTCATGGAGTCGATCCTAAGTTCATGAGTGGGTAAAAGAGTAAATACAAAAATACCAGCATATTAGCTAGTATTATATACTTTTAAGAAAATAAAACAGAGTGGGATAAAAATGAGCATTGGTGTATGTGGGAGTGACGGGGGAGTCAGGAGGTACAGGGGTAACAGGAAATGACAGTATGTGTAAGGGTGAGAATGAGAAGATGGATATGGATGAGAGCAAGAGACAGCATGTGTAGGGGTGACAGAAGATGTAGCAGTGACAGCGAGTGGCAGCATGTGTAGGGCTGTACTTTAAACTGGGATGGTCAAAGAGACCCTTCCTGGGGAGAGGCTGTCAGAGGAAGCCTGAAGAAGAGGGATGCAGGTGTGGGAAAAGGCGAGAGAAAGGGACCGGCGGTTGGTGTAATGGCTATGTCGCTGGACTCCCATGTAGTCAACTGTGGTTTGAGTCCTGGACCTGGTGACTTAAACTCACACCGGGCATGTGTGTGTGCATGACCAAGATCCTGAGAGGAGAATGGAGGAGAAGGGATTGCAGCGTGATCATCCTTCCTGGGGGTTGATTTCTCGCTTTCTGTCTCTCTGTATCTCTGTCTTTCTGGCGAGGGCACTCACCCTATAGCAAAAACCTCTAAAAACAAACAAACAGAAAATGTGGGAGAAAAACATCATGGTAAAGGGAATGGCTAGTGTAGGGCCTAAGGCAGGAAAGAACTGGATGCATTAGAGCGGCTGAGAGCAGCATGATTCTGTGGAATCCATTGAGTGGGGTTAGAAGCTGGAGGAAAGAAGAGCAAGAGGGGGGGTGAGATCACAGAGAGCCTGATAGTCCGTCATGAGGTTGGGTTTACTTCTAAGACTAAGAAAACTCCTGAAGAGTCTTGAGCAAGGGACTGATATGACCTAATTTGTAATGTGGGAAATACCATTCTGTCAGCTTTAAGGGTAAAGAATTGTAGGATAACCACGGTAGGCTAGGAAGACTGGTAAGAGCCTACTGCAGTCGTTCAGGCCAGAGATGTAAACATGAGGTCATTCCCCTCATTGTCCCTGACAGTAGCAAGGGTTGCCCCACTCAGGCTTACTTTGAGTATGATGCTTCCTGTCTGTGAACATTATAGAAGAAAGAATCTTACTGATGGGCTTCATGATCCTAGAGCTCAGCTTCTATTTTTATACATTAGTCAGTAAAATCTCTCGAACTTCACTAAAACTCAGGCGAGTAAGCATTCTGCTTTAGTTCATCAAATCAACCAACCCTCTACAGTCAAGACTACTATCTTTAACTTAGGCTAGATATTCAGAAATAGATGAGGATTCAACTACACACCTTTGGAATAAAATAGATTTTATTCTGGGATTTGATCATAGGATTGAGACATTTAAAATGTAAGAAGATAGTTTATCTTACAGGAGAGGTTAAGGGCACAGGCCCTAAACTCATGTCACATGGTCTGATTTCAAGGTCTAACACAAGCTATATGATCTTGAGTAGGTCATTTCAACCTGTCAAACCCTGTCCACACCTCTGAAGTGGTGAGTAACACCTATTTGCCTATGGTTGTAGTGGGAATTAAAAAAAGAAAACCTATCAAAAGGAATTAGAGAAAAGTCTGACATGCTCAAATGCTCAATAAATGTGGATTACTAGTGCTGTTTTAGCCCATATGCAAATTCCCGGGATTTTTTTAGTGGTTATATTCCTGCGATACACCCTAAGTGGGTTACAAATTATTTGTTTTCTCTTGCAACACTCTCTAAAGTTCCCTTTTCATAGTGAAGAAAAACTGAAGTAAAGCTTAGTTACTCAAGATGATACAGCACAGAGTTGTGCCATATGGCTTCAAAAAAAGCCTGAGTGCTCAATACTGACTTGCTGGGGACTTTTAAATATATGGGGAATTTTAAGAAAATACTAATGCTCAAGTTGCACCCTTAGAGGTTTTGCTTTGTTTTTGAGACTTCGAGTCAAAACATCAATATTTTTTAAGGTGCTTCAGGAGATGCTAATGAGCAGCTAAACTTAAGAACCACTAACCTATAAAATCCATTTTGCAGATGAGGAAATTGAGGTGCTCTGGGATCAAATGACTGGCCCCAGTCTGTTCATGTCAAAGACTGGGATAGACTCTGAGGACAACAAGGAGATAGACTCAAAATTATGATAAATTAACTAACAAAAAAGAGCATCTCACATTGAGAGATGATGCTCTTAAGGAAGAACTATGTGATGTTAGCTAAATCTAAATGTATCAAAAGGGAAGCCATCAGTCTACATGGGAACACAAAAATGGGGTCAGTAGGAGTACCGCACTGGCTCTCCTTAACCACCTACGCTCCACATCGACCCGTTTGCATTCCCTATGAATATTCACTAAGCTTCATCTGAAGATGAATTGGATTCCAAAGTATATTCCCCAAAGGGGAATAAAGAGGGACTTTCATTCTCAGGGCCCTTTTAAACAGGCCCGCTGCCCTACTCACTCCATTAGTATTGGTTTTGTTGTTTTCTTCATCTACTATTCGTTATGGGTTTGGAGTTATGCAAAGAATCATCCCATTTTGTAAAATGAGTAGATCGAAAGCAGTTACTGATCTCTTCCCCCTTCTCCTGCCCACAGTTTTTGCTCAGAATAAGTGTACAACTAAGAACATGAGAGATCTTAAAACAAAGGTCCTATGGCCGTGCTGTCCTCTGATGAGCTAGTCCCCACAGGTTTGAAATGGTAAAAATGGTTGACTCCATCCATGGGAGGAAGGTTTCTGGGCTGGTAGTTCTCACATCTAGCCTGACTACAATTGGAAGGTATGACCAGTTGTTTTTAAATTATTTGTTATCTTATACCTTTCAATATTTACTGAAGAAGTTAGCAGAATCAAACAATGATTAATTGGTGTCTATTATTAATCCTAGTTTACAGCACTCTCCTCCCAAAATAAACAAAGTAACCATTAAAGTAGTTTATTAGTTATCCAACTTGTGAAAGTGTACACAGTCTGAGATAGGATGTTAAATTGTGAAACTTTTGGTTTTATCCATGAAGGCATAAAATTAAAAAAAAAATATTCAGTGGTTACTCGATGTCCCCACTGCCCATTTGTTTTTATCTGACAGAATAAAAGAGGAAATCATAGGGGAAGATGGAGGAGTACCTTTCAACTGAAGCTGAAACAGGTCTCAAGTCTTGTTATCTGATCTGCATGGGAATTAGGAAAGATGTGATGAAAAAGGGAGTGGTACATTCGACATAAAAACTAATTTGAACATCCTCTTTCAAATGCGATGATGACCATTTTTATATGGATCATTTATACTTAGTAGAATTTGAAGGGACCTAAGGGAACACTCCATCCATTGTTGTCTTATAGATGAAGAAAGTAAGATTCAGAGAAGCTGTGCTATTTGCCCAAGATACCAGTTTTGTTTGTTTAGGTAAAATTGCTTTATATCTATGTGTGTTCAGTTGAACATGGTTTTTTTTTAGGGAAATGCAACCCTTGAATTGATCAAGGCTTAAGAGACCATATTCATATTCTTAGAAAGTAGAAACTTTTTTAACTGAGCTCAAATTCGAGATTCATTAACAATTCTCATTTCTCTGACCATCAACTTCACCAAGCTCCAGGCTTAAGAAGCTGCAGATAAATTCAAGTTTATCTAGTTCAAAATCCACCTATAATTTAGCAAATATTCCTTCATTCAAACTAAGAGACCAGCTTGCCAAAGAAGTTGGTACTCTGCATGAATAAAACAGTCTATCACAAGAGTCATGTCTTTTTAAAAAATTATCCTACTATGTACTCCTAGTTCTGTTTTTTAAATTAATATAAAGTTTACATAAAATGTGCAAATCTTAAACATGCACACAATGAATGATTACATGTAGCCACATCTTATAACCATCTCAAAGATCCAGACCTAGAACATTACTAGCATCTGAAAAAGCGCCCTCAGGCAACTCAGCGTCCATAGTAACTACAGCCTTCCTGGCCTCCATCCATATTCCCACGGATAAGCTTTATGTGCTTTTGATCTCATATAAATTAAATCATACATTATGTACACTTTTCTGTCTGGCTTTTTAAGTTCTGCATTATGTTCATGAGATTCATCTACAATGCTGTGCATATTAGTGGTTTGTTCTTTTTCATTGCTGTGTTTTCTCTTTTGTGAATTTACCATGTTTTATCCACCCATTTTAATGTTGATGGACCTTTGGATTCTATCAAAAGTTTTGGGATATTACCACTAAGGTGTCATAAAAAGTAAAGGCATTTGTTTCTATCGAATATATACTAGGAGTGGAATTCTTGGGTCTTTCCACTTTAGTTTTCTTTTTTTTTTTTTTTTTTTTTCCCCCGGACCTTATAGTAGAGTTATTGGTGGGTCTTTCCCCTTTTTTTTTTTTTTTTTTTTTTTTTTTTTTGCCCTGGACCATAATCTAACTATTTTTTTCTTTTTTAAAGTTTCTTTGGAGACAGAGAAGGAAGGTTTCTACCAGACCAGAAAGCTTTCTCCTATGGATGGAGTCAATCAATATTACCATTTCAAACCTGTGGGGACTAACTCATCAGAGGACAGCACAACCATAAGCCCTTTGCTTTAAGATCCCTCATGATCTTAGCTGTACACTGATTCTGAGCAAAAGCGGGGGAAAGGCAGAGACCAGTAATTCCTTTAGGTGTGGCTTCCAGTACTGGAGTTCAGTTTGCTAGATGAAGACAAGCACCATCAATAGGGTCTCATGTGTCAATCCCACTTCCCCTCTCCCCCCCAAGCAGCCTTTCTAACCAGGTAGGATCGCAGGCTTGTCATCCAGTGTGTACAGGCCCATCGGGGAATTGAACCCACCATTTTCTCCATGGAATCGGCATCACTTGAGCAGTGCATCACCACTGTGCCACTGAGCTAGTCCCATGATCTAATTTTTCTAAAATGTCAAATGAACTATAACAATCGTTTTAAGCCTTAGAAATATTCCAGGAGATAGATCTTTACAGCTTAAAATGGTCTACCAATAGCATAAAAGCTTTTGTGTGTTATTTCCTCTGCTTCTCCTGATGGGTTTGACTCTCCCTTTTCCTTCTCCCTAAATTCCTGTTTTCATGTGAGAAGAGAGGAAAATGACTCTTGAAGTACATATCTGAGTATTTTTCTTAGATGTGCCTATTCTTCATGGAGATAGTGTTATATACCTGAGAAGTATTAAGTTAGAATTAGGGAACTGGGTTTTTATATCTAAACTAAGCTTCTACTTTCTTGGATGTGAGGAAAATTATTTCACTTGTTTGCACCTCAGTCAGAGGATCATTTTTATCAATGGTTCCCAAACCTGGCCACAAATCAAAATCTGCTGGGAAGATTTTAATGTTCGTTTTTGTTACATAAACAGTGTATGTTAGTAAAAATAAATAAATAAATAAATAATAGGACAGGTGAAAGAAAATTAAAAGCAAAAATTCCTCCCCTCATAGTCTGTATAATATCTCATTCTTCTAACTAGAAAGTCCTTGGTGTCGTTCTTAACTGTTTTAAGTTTATTCATAATAGAGAGTGCATACATGTGCATAAGGGATTAAGCCACAACCCTTTTTAACCAGCCCACCAGTTCTTCAGGCGTTTGGGCACACACAAGTGCCCTATGTGTTTTCAGGCTCATTGGATCCCAGCTGTGGTCAACCATGTGGCTTCCAGCACTGTAGTTCAGTTTGCTGCCACTTGTGCCACTAGAGTTGGTCCTTGGTGTCTTAAATAGAGATTCCTTGTCCCTCCCTTCTCCAGGCCTAGTGAAGCAGAACCCCCAAGGTCAAAGGAATTTTTTAAGACCTAGTAAGTGATTTTAATAGATATTCAGGTTTGAGAATGAATCTATTGATGAAATAATACATAAGATCCCACATACACTTCAAAAATGATGTGATACGAGTTTGTCGGCTGCTAATAGGATTGGCCCTAGGCATAACTAAAGCAACATTGGCTTTATTTTGACCTCTACTTATTTATGCCTTCTCTCTTCAACTTTGGCTACTCAATTTCTTCAGTTTAAAATGTTCATAGCTCTTCAAGACTTACAGTGGAACTTAATTAGTTGGAAGACAGTGACTCATTTCATTAAAGCTCTAGATTTTTGTTGTTAATGCCATAAATCAGTCAGTATTAGTGAATTTAATCTAACTACTAAACATAATGCCTTTTCCAGGTAACATAGTGCCTTATACTAAAATGGAGATTTCTATAATGCTTTACCAAGTAGCATGAGGTTTGAGGACTTGCACTAGAATATTCAGGAAGATGTTTTAAGTCTGACAAGCTTTCAGATAAAATCCACATACACAAACCTTCCTCCATGTCTATCATTACAAATACTACTCAGTTTGAGTATCTGGAAAAGCACATTCTTGAAATAGATGCTAACTGACAAAAAAGAAATTGTTGAGAATTTAAATTGTAAGTAAAGGGGCTGCTATTAGCAATTAACAGGAGAGAAAGACTGGACCAGCTGCAGCTAGTGGCATGGTAGTTAAGGAGGCTGGATCTCACATGACTGACTTTAAGGTTTGAGTCTGGGCCCAGTGGCTTGAAAAACATGCCAGGTGCATGTGCCTGTGTGCCCAAAATCTCAAGAAGAGAATGGAAGAAAAGGGATTGTGCCATGGCCATCCCTAGGGAGTGACTTGTCACTTTCTCTCTCTGTGTGTGTGTTTGTGTGTGTGTGTCTCCCTGGCAAGCACATGCACGCTATGGCAAAATAAAAAAAAAAAAATTGAAAATAATAAGGAAGACTTGCTTGTATAAACTATTCAGTCCAGCTTACACTGTAGAACAATAAATTACCCACTAAACATTTTCCTACCTAAAATGCATAATTGTAAAAGAATAAGAAGGAAAAAGAAACCTAAACATAATTGTGATTACAAAAAGAGCTGTAAGAAAACAATTAAAATGTGTCTTGCTAGACTGAGGAGTAGAAAGAGGAAAACAGAATCCAAGACATAATACCTGACCTATATAAATGATGATCGTATAATTATGTAATTAATTTTGAATATATATCACCTTTCCTTTGTTAATCTGAAAAATGATTGTATCTCTTACCTTAAGAAAATACTATTTGAGACAAACATCAGACAATATGTCTTCACTTTATTCAAACAGCTTTTCTGTGTTTAAAAGGCAAAATTTGGATTTTAAAGGCAAAATATCCAGTGTTCTGACTTCTAGAGTAGATTGCACAATACAGATGAATTAGACAGACGAGATGAAAATTTTACAGAAATATTGCGTGTGGTGCATTGTATCTGGATATCCAGATTGTATTTCTGTGTGCTTATGTGGGTATTATTATTTGGAGAGGTGGCTACTTTTGTAGTTAAATGTACTGGTGAGCTCATGGAGCATATCGAGTTAACAGCTTCACAACTTCGTAATCTCGTTCACCCTGGGATCTTTGTCTAGAACACTCCTATTCTGCCTTAATTCCTTTCTATTCTATGAGGCTTAACTTGGGTATCACCTCCCCTGACCACCCCGAGCTGGATGCCTCCTTTTCTTGCCCCCACTGTCCCCTGTGCATAGCCATGTGCCTCTTAGCCCTTATCGCCTTGATCTAAGATGCTCCATGGATACAACAGCTTCTCTACCAGGCTTTCCGTGCTATAGGGAGCTCATTCACTATTGCATCCGTGTTGCCTAACACAGTGGCACAATGTCAATGCACAATAGATATCAATAATGCCTGATTGGGATTTCAATAACTAAATCCTTTTCCTTTATCCCATGTTGTACAAAGTTAATCCTCTACTGTGGTTGAAAAAGTTCTAGTACAAATGAAAAGGCAAAATTCCCATTACTTTTTTCATCTCTTCTGTCTAATTTCATCTACACTCTGTCTAGTTCAGTATTTCCCATTTTTGTGTTCCATGGAGCTGGGCTCTGAGAGATGCTGTTTAAATAAGTTTTTTTAATCTGGGAAATGTGTTACTCAACCCAGAAAAGCAGCTGGTATAGTGGCTTAGCACAGGAGAGTGGAGAGGCAGACTGCAGACCATGTAGGGTGAGTGATCATTTTGCCTTCCATTTCCTCCTCTATGAAATTAGACTAATTAAATAGAATTTCTCCTGTAAGTTGTAGTCAGGATTTACTGAGTATTGCACAAAGATTTAGAATGCTTGGAAAGTGCTGGGAACATACTAACTACTATAATTAGGCAAAGTGATATAGATTTTCTTCCATATTTGGCTTTATTTTGTTTGTTTGCTATAAACTGCTAAATACCTATGCTGATGTGTGTGAGAATCTCTAGGTAAGCAATCTTTCCTGAATTTACTTCATGGAAGACCTACTAGCATATCCTAAAGTACTGTGCCTCAGAAGGTACTTTGGAAAATTCCTGTTTAATAAACTTTTAAAATAAATAATATTTTCTGAAGAAAAATTGAGACATTGGTTTATCAAATACAGATATAATTTGAGGACACTAGGCATAATTATCTGAGGTAAGGAATGTTATTACAATCATACAAACAAATGAAAGTCAAGATCTATGTGTTACTACATTTAAAAATCTTGCTATTTTTGTTTAAAAATTGAGTTTATAAGTGAAGTGACTTTTAATGATTTTAAAGCAAAGACTACAAATATTGCTGAAATAAAATAAACCATATACACTTTATGAATTATTTTCTGGTAAAGCTGAAAAAATATTACCTGGTAAGGATGAAGTGCTGGACTTCCTTCTTCAAAAAGTCATGCCATTTATCTTCATTCTGATGCATCTGATAAGAACTTCCTCCAGAGCCAGGAAACTTTGCAAGTACTCAATAATCTAAAAGAAGGAGGTAAAGAAGGAAGTAACTGACCAAAGTGAAAAAGAGGAACAACTTCTAAGCCAAGGCAGATTTACAACATAACCAAAAGAACAGAAGAAGGAGCTAGGCACACCGGTCCAGAGGTAAGTGAAAACCTGATTTAATGTGTTTGGGTAATGAAAAATGGTAAGAAATGAGTTCATTTAAATCCATCAATGCTTCTTTATCTCATTGAACAGTTTTTAGAAAAATTGCCTTAGATAGTTGTAGCAGGGAAAACCAGTTTACAAACGGAGAGTGATGTTCGTGTTTCTTTACAAGTGTATATGCTCGCAAGTGTATGATTCAACTATGCTGTTGCTCTTTTCCAAGCAGAAAGGTGGTGTCCGACTTCGAAAGTTCCAAAGATTGGCCAACGATTTGTGATGTTTTAAAGAATAATTAGTAGGTATCAATTGGACCTGTTTCAAAAATGAAAAATCTCTTTCCAAACTGAGCAAAGTGAAACTTATTGAAGAACTAAGCTATTAAAGAACTCTTGTTTTTAAAATGTTTTTTTTTCATTTTAATAGACCTTTGTTTATGTCTCTCAGTACTTTTACTGTGAAATTATATTAAAGAAAGAGAAAAAATATTTTTTCCTTGTTAAAAATCTTGTCTTTAGCTCAGTGAACATCTCTTAGACCAACAATTTCAATATTTGGGATGTACTGGAATGTCAGTCCTACACAGAACATCATAGATGGTAAAAATAAAGTGTCCTCTTGGAAACTGAGAGCGATTCATTACCTTATCCTCAGCTGCAGTGGGTATAATAGTTAGCCTCCCCCATCCTCAACTCTACTTTTATTACAGACTTAGTACCTTTTAAAAAGTTGATTAGTATTGGATCACCTTGTGCCTTACAGTTACAGCACCTGGGTCCTACATGGTCACTGTCCATGAGAGAGTCCCAGAGAGAGTGGTTTAAAAAACATGCTGGGCATGCATGCATATGTGCCCAAAATTCTGAGAGGACAATGAAAGAGAAAGGATTGCAGTGTGACCATTCCTTCTGGGGATATTTTCTCACTTTCTCTCTCTCTGTTTCTGTTTCTCTCCGGCAAGTTCACATGTCCTGTAGCAATTTCTTAAAGTTGATTCATTTCAATCAGTATTTGGAATTTATTTTATAAATTTACATCAGATATTCTGGCAAATAGTACTTAAGTAAGTAATAATTTTTACCATAAAACATCTTTTTTTTTTCTTCTTTTGGAGAGGTTTTTGCTATAAGGTACATGCACTCGCCAGAAAGACAGAGAGAGACAGAGAGACAGAAAGCGAGAAATCACCCGCCAAGGGGGCATGGCCACGCTGCAATCCCTTCTCATCCATTCTCCTCTTGGGATCTTGGGCACGCACGCAACACGCCTGGCGTGAGTTAAGCCACCGGGTCTGGGACTCGAACTGCAGTTGACTACATGAGAGTCCAGCGACATAGCCATTACGCTAACTGCTTGCCCCTACCATAAAACATCTTACAAATGATCTGTTCTCATCTCTGTCAGAAAGGAAAGGGGCTTTTCATGGTTCAAGTCATTTTCTAGATTTTGCCTTTGAGCACAAGCACTGCGTCTGGCTTATGAAGGAGGGAGCCTACATTTCCCAAATCTTATGTGGTGGATCATCCAGTTCTAGTCTCCATATTAATCTCTAAAGTTCCAAGGAAACAAAAAGATGTGTAGATCTGGCATGCCCATTCCTATATTTTGATCATATACATTTTATAAATTACTTCATGTCATATTCAATTTGGTAATATGAAATGCCAGATAAAAATTTGTACACTGATATATTACAGCTTTGAACAAGTTTATAAAAGTTCCTTACTGTACATGAATACTAACTGAAAGTAGGGCACTATTTTGTATTTTTTATTTTTCCACTTATCATTGCTATTGCTATCCTACAAGTAGATTTCTCCATTCATTAACATATAACTAATAAATTAGCTATTCTGTGGCCTGTACTGGTGATACAAGATAAGTAAGATATAATTCCAGCCCTCAAGAACCTCAAAGCTAATCAAGCTATTCAATTATAAAGACAGATGCCTTCAGTAGCCGCTCGTAGATATTTGGTAAGAATATTTGGAGGAAAATTTTACTTGAATCCTCACCAGCTGCTTCTTAGTTGTTAAGACAATTACCTAACCTCTTTAATTTTTTTCTTTTTTCCTCTATAAAATGGGGATAAAAATATTATTTATTACGGCATTGTATATAGAATCAAATAAGACAACCCATATAAAAATGTTTAGAAGCTGACCCAAAATAAGCTTTTAAATAAATTTTACTGATGATGACACTCAATAGATAATGCTCATCATCCCACAAGCACTAACAGTACAATTAACACTATATATGTGTAGGCTGAAAGCATATAGTAATGTTTTGTGGGTAAAATCATACTACAGCATCCAGCCTCACTGAACAATTAGTTCCCCTTTCTTTCCTCATCAACGACAACTACTCGAGAATCATCTTAATTGAATGAAAGTTATCTGTTGGAAACTGAAAGAAGACTAGTGATAGGAAGACTTTGGAAGATATTTGTTTTACTTTTCATGTTTTAAGTATAAACTATCACCTTTAGCAGATACATTCTGAGTTTTAAACTATCCACTTAAGCAATTAGATACATTTTAAGATGCAATCCTTCATTAATAACTATTGATTGAATGCCTTTTCTGTACTAGGTCTTATGCTATCCTCTGGGAATATAAAGATGAAAAGAGTTTCTCACGGCCCACCATTCAACCAGGTAGGAAGATACGTAATTCCCTGTTCCCCAAGGTGTCATGCTATGGTAGAGAGTCAACTCATTGAGATGAACTATATAGGCAGAAGTGACTAAGAAAGATATAAAGCCCCTGTCTACTCCAAAGGGGGCTGGGAAAGACTTCATAGAGGAGGTGATAGATAATGGAAGTAATTGCACTTGTATGCACTTGTTCCATTTCTCCTATTGCCTTCAGAACATTACCTTTCACTTGAAAATTGTTACCCTTATTGTCAAAGCATGCTAAACCTAAGTGTTAAAACCATTAGGGCTTGGGGAGGAACAGGTTCTTCTCACTCTTTCTCTTCTTTTTTTTTTTGGAGAGGTTTTTGCTGTAGGGTGCATGTGCTCGCCAGACAGACAGAGAGAGACAGAGAGACAGAAAGCGAGAAATCACCCCCCAGGGGGGATGGCCACACCGCAATCCCTTCTCACTTTCTCTTCTCAAAACATCTGGTTCTATATTCCATATTGAGAGTAGGAGTTTGCTAAATTCTGGTGTTTAATGTATTGGTAGGAATTTTTAAATTGTGTGATACAATATGCAATTAATATATTTTTAATTTATAGCAGGTTTCTGGATGGCAAATCATGCGACCTTCCTTTTTTTGAGTTTTCTATTCTGCTGTGATCTCCTACTAATTTGTGCTTCATTTTGTGACTCATTGATAGAAAAACAAGTAGAGTGGGATAAAATCCCCCCTGCTACAGTGCAATTATATATTAATGGCTGTAATGTGAACATCATCACATACAAAGAGAGCCATTTTCCAAAATTAAGTTTATTCAATCTCTCCTTTAATTGCATTGGGACTTTTCCAGATAGTGTTCTTTCAGATCTGAAAAAGAAATGCCTAAAAGACCTTCCAAACTCATTTCTGAGCAATACTAGTCTATGGAGAGGTTTTTGCTGTAGGGTGCATGTGCTCGCCAGACAGACAGAGAGAGACAGAGAGACAGAAAGCGAGAAATCACCCCCCAGGGGGGATGGCCACACCGCAATCCCTTCTCACTTTCTCTTCTCAAAACATCTGGTTCTATATTCCATATTGAGAGTAGGAGTTTGCTAAATTCTGGTGTTTAATGTATTGGTAGGAATTTTTAAATTGTGTGATACAATATGCAATTAATATATTTTTAATTTATAGCAGGTTTCTGGATGGCAAATCATGCGACCTTCCTTTTTTTGAGTTTTCTATTCTGCTGTGATCTCCTACTAATTTGTGCTTCATTTTGTGACTCATTGATAGAAAAACAAGTAGAGTGGGATAAAATCCCCCCTGCTACAGTGCAATTATATATTAATGGCTGTAATGTGAACATCATCACATACAAAGAGAGCCATTTTCCAAAATTAAGTTTATTCAATCTCTCCTTTAATTGCATTGGGACTTTTCCAGATAGTGTTCTTTCAGATCTGAAAAAGAAATGCCTAAAAGACCTTCCAAACTCATTTCTGAGCAATACTAGTCTACAAGGAATTACATCCGTCTGTACCTGTGACTTCATTAAAGACAACACCAAACTGCAAAACAGCACTGTTTGTGCAGAAATGCTAAAAAGCTGTGGAAACAATTCAGTGGCCATTTCTGTAGGGATCTTCCTTCTTTTACTCTTAATGGTCTGCGGAATTGGGTGTGTTTGGCACTGGAAACACCGTAACACCACACGATTTACTTTACCAAAGTTTTTGCAAAGGAAAAGCAGCAGAAGAAAAGACTATGCTAAAACACTGTCCTCAAGTCCCTACATCATTGACTCAAGGCATAAAACCTCCGTCGACAGCCAAGCCCACAGATCTGCTGTTGGGAAAATTAACATTCATGACAACTATGAAAACGTGGAAGTGGGTCCTCCTAAAGCTAAAGAAGAAATGGATAAGGAACTATATGAGAACACTCGGCAGTCTAATTTTGAAGACCATATCTATGGAAATGAGACATATTATAACTTCCAGAAGCATAGTGCTTCTGAAGTTCCTCAAGAAGAAGATATATACATTCTTCCAGATTCATCTTAGCCTTTCAAACTACTGAGTTTCATTAGCGGAGGATGAATATTCACTGGAGGTTTTACTGTACTGATGTCATTATTAATTAAGTTCTTGTCATTATTAATGACATTTTCCCTATGAAATTGTATGGTCTCTCCTCTATCTCCACTCTTCTGAGTCTTTTTGATATGTATCATTAGGAATTAGTTCTAAATATCCTCTCATCCTCCTTGCTCTGGGTAAAATATGTATTATGTTACATTGATTATCCCATCTAAATGTTGTCTGTTACCTGTTTTTTGTTTGTTTGTTTGTTTCTACCTTCACCAACTTTTTCTAGCTCAGGAGGACTGTCACCATCCTAACTAATCATCCTGCCTCTGATTTTCTGCCTGCTGAATCAATTTCCCACTTTGGTGCCAGATTAATCTTCAGAAAATATTCCTAATGGCCACTTCAGTCTCTTGCTTAAAACATTTGAATGCTTATTCTTTATTACAGACATAATGCTCATAATTCTAACTCCAGAATTCATAATTTTCCATTATTGATTCCAATTTACTCACCCAGAACCTTCTCCTACTAATTACTCACTTCTCTGCTTTCATCAGAATGATCTCAAAACCTTCCAAACTCATTCTTTCTCCTTTACAGGGCTTTGCTTGTCTGCCCTTGTAATCTTGCCTCCAGTCATGACTTCTTCCACAAGTCTCTGGATCATTTCAAATCCACATTTACCTTTTTGTTTTCTACTATCCCATAGATTCTCTTACCTGTTCAATTCTTTGGGTGTTTAATCACATGAAGGTTTGCTATGGCATTTCATTACTTAATGTTATATGAAAATCCTTAAATTCCCAGTTAAACAGAAAGGAACTGCCTCATTTATATTTTTAGACTCAATGCTTACACCATCACATGAGGCACTAAATACTTGTTCAATTGACAAGAATTGAATTGTATATTTTGCTAAGTCATTTTGAAAAAAATCTAATAAACTCTACTATTTATCTACCAAAGGAATATTTATTGTGTACCTTTTAACTACCTATTATTGTGCTGTGCTCATGGGGAATAGGGAGAGGGGTTTTTCATCAATAGTAAAAAGAGAGACATGTGTCCTGAACACATATGAGAAGACTTGAGAAAGTTCATAGAAAAGTAAAATTGAAGTATGACTTTATTTTGGTGAAACAACATTTTGTGAAATCCATGCTTTTTTCATAATATGTATTTTCTATTAATTTTAAGACCTCCTTCCCCCATACATACTGTCTAGTAGAAAGTAAAGGACAACAAATAAGCAATCAAACAAATACTATGCTCATTAGGAAGCTAGGTTATCTCATCTCTAAACTCACTCTTTTATATGTTGTTTAGAATTGCTGGGCCTGGAACTCTGCAAACTACAGTTTTCTTTTGCAGGTGGATCTAAAATATATTGGGCTCTGCCAATGGGACTGCTAAGGAAGATTGGAAGGCAATAGGAACCAAAAGGGATTTGCTCCTTCTTCTTGTTGTCCCCTGTACCAGCCAGGCAGCACCATTCCTTAAAATCTGAGAACCAAAACCCCAGGCCCTCATCAGAGTTCCTGTGGTATCAGCAGAAGACAAATGGCACCCTCCAAGTTTCTGGGTCTGAGCCTTGCAGCGCTGCTCCATGGATGTTCTGATAATCCCCTGCCCTAAGGATGCTAGCTACTTTCTGCAGCTATTATCTGTGTGGTTTCTTGGTGTCTCTCTCTCTCTCTCTCTTTTTACAATGTGCCAATACCTGTTTAGCTAACTCTATATTAAATTCTGTTTGTTAACACAAACTGATGCAGTCTCTATATCCCCAAGAGGATCCTGAACCATGCAAATAAGAATTGTAGAGATACTAAAGGAGAAAGAGAGAAAAGAAAGAAAGAAAGAGAGAAAGAAAAATAAATAAAGAGAAAAGCTTACTAATTTTTGAGAGCATTGGGATTGGGTAAGAAAGAGGAATTTAATTTTGATAAGATTAGGTCAAAGTAGGCCTCTCTGAAAACACACTTAAGCTGAGTCTTGAGAGTAAAAAAGAAGTATCCATGCAAAATGTGATGTGAAGGGTGTGGAAGGATAACACTAGAATGTAAAAAGTATCTGAGACATGGAAAGGTTTACAGGACTCTGGGAATGTAAAGAAAGTCATTCTGGCTGGAACTTCCTGAGGAAAGTTTGAAGTGACACCTGAGGTGACGGAGGGGATAGTGGTAGATCTTTGCGTGTGTTTTGTCTCTGTTATTGGTACAATTGGACTCAGTTAAGGGTGATCATAACATTTGCATTTTTAAAAAAGAATTGTTTATTTAATTTTATTATTATTATTATTATTATTTTTAAATTTGCTGTAGAATGCATGTACTCACCAGAGAGATAGAAAGTGAGAAAGCAAGTTACCAGGTATAGGATTTGAAACACTGTCAGCCATGTGGGAGTCCAGTGCTTCAACCATCACATCACCTGCTGGCCAAACATTTTGCCTTAGGGCTTGTGTGCTTTCTAGAGAGGGAAAGTGAGAAATCACCTGGGGAGAGGAGGGAGATAGTTATGTCTTAATTCCTTCTGCTTCATTCTCCTTCTAGGATTTTGGTTACTCACGCATATGTGCCTGGCATGAGTTTTAAGCCTCCAGGTCCGGAACTTGAACTTCAGTCTGCCATGTGGGAGTCCAGCAATGCAACCACTATGCCATCTGCTAACTCCAACATTTGCATTTTTAAAAGAGCTAATAGGTAGAGAAATTATTAGAAAAGAGGCAAAATGAAAGTTAGGTAGGACATTTAAGAAACTTTTGTCTTTAACTTAGACTGGAGTGTCTGCAGTGCAGATAAAGACATTGACAATGCTGCCTTGCTCTTCAGAGGAAATGGTAGGACTTACTAAAGAACTCCATGAGTGTGTTTGCTGGGAGAAAGGAAGATTAGGGGTTGCCTGAAAGAGAAGACTTGAGAATAGCCATCCTATTTCTGACTGGTGCAACAGAGGTGATGGTAAAGTACTTTAATGAGTTGTTGAAGACTTAAAGAAGAAATGAATTTGGAGGCTTGAGCAGTTAGGAATGAGTTGGGCTGCCAGTAACATAAAAACCAGACTACAATGGCTTAGATGCTTGTAATTTCATTTATTTCACATAATAAAGAGACTGAAGATAAGCATCTACTGGCTAGCAAATCAGTTTAATGATATTATATAGGAAGACCCAAGCCTTTTTATATTTCCCTATCATCCTTAGTATTTTGGGTTTTTTTGTTTTTTGTTTTTTGTTTTTTGGGGGTTTTTTTTGAGAGGTTTTTTGCTATAGGGCACATGTGCTCGCCAGACAGACAGAGAGAGACATAGAACAGAAAGCAAGAAATCACCTCCCAGGGGGGATGGTCACTCTACAATCTCTTCTCCTCCATTCTCCTCTCAGGATCTTGGGCACACATGCACGTGCCTGGCATGAGTTTTAAGCCACCGGGTCCGGGACACGAACCGCTGTCGACTATGTGGGAGTCCAGCGACACAGCCATTACGCTAACTGCTGGTTCCCCTTAGTATTTTAACATACATTTTCTTCATATATATTGCCTCATGACCACCGTATGGTTGCTGAATCTCCAGACCTTACGTTTATGTTCCAGTCAGCCATGAATAAGAAATAAGAGGGAACGAGCAGCACTAAAATATTTCAGTTTACAGTTCATCGACAAAACTTGTGTCACACAGACACTACCTGGTGGAGGAATGGATGGAAAATTGAATTTTGAACTTTGATAGCCTCATAGAGAGAAAATGGAGGAAAAAGGAGATGTAAATAGAATTTGATGCACTCAACTCATAATATTGGGTTGTCAGAAAAGTCATGACATATATTTTCAAATGTGTCATGATTTTTCTGACAACCCAATACTTGCCACAGGAGTTACAATGAGTTAGAACAGTTTATTTTGACAAGAAATATGTCCTGAGAACCAAGTAAAAACATGCAGTTTGGTGTTATATATATATACACTAGAATTTTAGAGGAGACTGAGCTCAAGGGCCATAAGTATTTAGGTGGTATTTGCAGAAATAGGAATGGATGTGATCACTTGGGAAGATACAGTATGGAGCAAAGAGTAGGGGATCAAAAAGGAAGAGGAGAAATACAGAAGTTCCTCCCAAATTGTCACATCTTAAGGGTAGATTAATAAGGAGATTGTAGCAAAGAAGGCTGAAAACGATAGGCCAATGAGGAAAGAGGTAAATTGCTATGATCTCTAAGAAGAATGGTTGATAGGATAAAATACATGACATACTGACACTTCTATTATAGTTAATGATCCAATGTCAAAAACAAAATTTCAACAAACTGAGTTTAAAGATCAAATTAGATTTTTTTTTTAAATGTGCTATAGGGCACGTGTGTTTGCCAGAGAGAGACAGAGAGAAAAAGTGAGAAAGCCTCCTCCCCTTGCCCCATCCCTGGGGCACTGCAATATCACACTGCAATATCTTCTCTTCTACTCTCCTCTCGAGGTTTTTGGACTCACACACACGTATCGGGCATGTTTTTCAAGTCACTAGGTCTGGGACTCAAACCTTGCAGCTGGCCATGTGGGATGTAGTCACTTGGCTGGCCCCAGTTCTAACTGGATTTTATTAGTGATTCATGAATCTGGAAGCATCTCATCTGATAATTTAGACAGGTGCTCTGTTAAACTTAAGAGAACTCTTTTATAAGACAGCTTGAGAAGGAACAAGAAATCAGCATAATACAAAAAAAGGGGATTGGTTAACACCAGGTTATTCCAGGTTACTTTTCTTGTAAGGGTTGACTCATAAGAAAGAGGAGACTTTCTAATAATGCCAACTAAAACTGGTCCATTTGAGTATTTAGCTATGGTTTCTCAGAAGATCACATCAAAAACTCAGTTTTGGTTTGGTGAGAAGAACTTTAGCGCGAGTAACTCCATTTTGGTTTAGTCTTTTGAGACCTAGTGCAGGAACTCAATTTGAATTGATGGCCTCTCATAAATTATATTTAACAAGAGACAGGGCATTTAGTCTTTTTTTTTTCTTATCTTTTATCAAAAAAAAACAGTAAAAGGCTGAATAAAAGAAGGACTTAGTCAGTGATCCTTCACATAGTCCTTACTCTGATTACATTTTTAAATGAATTATAAGTTTTTTATCCATTGAAAAAAACCTCTCCCTCCTTACCTTACTGGCAATTCTTGAGGTGGAAGGGTCTGAGAGGAATAAAGGAAATTGTCATTCAACTTTGTTCTTTTTCTCTACATAGTCTCCATTGTTCATCCCTTCTCCTATTCCCACTTTCCTTTCTCTCTCCCTCATTTTCCCTCCCTTCCACTTGAATCCTCCTCTTCCTTTCTCTGTTTCTGTCCTTCTCTCCTCTTCAAATATCTATCTCCTATGTGAATCCATTGCTAAAACATTTCTCCACTTTCTTAAAATCTCAAAAGTAAAACTTGTCTATGAGAGATAAAAGATAATAAAGTTAGTCTACATCTACCAAGAAGAGTGGTTTGTATTTGTGTTATATTATTAGCAAAAGGAACCACACGTACACCACAATTGAAAGAGGAAGGATGTTGGGGGTGGAAGAAAGGAGACAGCAGCATTTAAATATATTGGGTATGACTTTGCTATATACTCAGGGAAACGAAGGCGTGTTCATATCCTGTGACTTACAACCAGTCTCTGTAAGAGTCTGGCCAGCCTCCAGCAAGAATGAGTACCTGGCTTCCGGACCTCGCTCTCAGCCTGCAACTTGAAACATTTTACTGCAATGTGACTTCTACCTGACTTCTCAACTTATTATTATTTAATTGCCAAGAGGTACATGTGTTCACGAGAAAGAGAAAGGGAGAGAGAAGGAGAGAGAGAAGGCAGCCCCCATAGGGTGTGATCATAATGCAAGCCTTTTCCTTCCACTTCTCCACCCCGTCAGAATTTTGGGTACTCATGCACATGTCCCTGGCTCAAGCTGCCAAGCCAAATTAGCC